TTTCTAATAAATATGTCACATCATTAAACATTTTTGGTACATTTTTTAATATTTCTAATAAAAACAATTTATCACATTCCAATGTCCGTAAGCTTTTAAATTTCCTATACCGATATCGGTCTCTTGAGTAAAATTACATATCGTAACGGCCGTTACGCTAATATAATATCCTTTCAATCTTATAAGAAAAATTAACCCATAATCATTATAAACAGTGAAGTAAGGCTTATTAAATTTCTTATTCCCTCATATATATTATTACAATTGCATGCAATAAAACATTTACCAGAGATTAATAAATATTGTTAAAAGTAAAGTGTATTTTTAACGAATTCTTGTATGTTGGCTTTTAAAACTATCCAGATGTTAACTTATCATAATGTAACTAAATGTTAAGATTAAAAAGTTCAAAAAGGGTATTTATCTGTATTTAAAAAACACGTTTTTTTATACTTTAGTTACCGTACAGTACACACCAGTTCAGTGTCAATGATAGAATAAATAATAATTATTGTCGTTTACCCATACTCCACGTATTTATCTGCTTTTGAGTGTTTACATTTTCGGTATCAATTTCACCCATAACGCGTGACGTATGTGAGTAGGCAGCGGACATATATTTGTGTCTTCATCATCGATTGACATTTTTAGCATCAATTGTTGAAGTATCGCCTATGATATACTCCAGTAATGCAGATTGAAGTTAAAACTCTTAACGGTTAAAAACTCTTTTATATGAGTTAACTTGCTAACTACTGCCCGACGTTTCAAATGCTTTGCTTCCTGAACCAATATATTTCAGGTTTGAAACCGTTAAACGGTTTTTATTTTGTATAATATTTTTTGTTTCTCCAAAATTTGAACCCAAGACAACTCGAGCTTACAAGCAGTTGGGTTTAACCGTGATTAATAGTTTAAAAGTCGGAGTATTAATATGATTAAGGGTCGTTTAAGTAATGAAAGTGTTTTGGTATAATACTTATAATACCTTCCCATTTAATTTAGTAAAAAAGCTTTAAAAGTTATTAAAAAGTATAATAATGAAAATTTATTACACCATGCCTACGCCATTGTAATAGTAACGAAATTCTTAAAAAAACACTCGTCGTGAAATGAAATAAAAATAAAAAACAAACAAAAATGCGTCAAATTTGAAAGAAAAAAATATATGTCTTATATCTTTAAAATTCTTCGTATTTAAATCGTTCACTTGGCTAAGGCCGTAGCTTGGATTCGAAGTTTTGATTTTTTAAAAGGACTAATATTATAACTAAGTTTAAATAAAACACGTCAACGTTTAAAACGCGATATATTAGTTTATTTCATTTTAACTAAGGCCCGACCTTTCGGAGGGTCCCGCGAGCACAGCTGCTGCAAAGCATCTGAAACGTCGGGTCGTAGTTAAAATAATATTCAAATAAGTTTAACTAATATATATCGCGTTTTAAATCGTTAAAGTATTTTATTTAAATGTGTACTACTCGCGTAAACTACAGCCAATATTTATGGTTAAGGTTTCAACAGGTCCAATAAAAATGTTATCAGCAAGTTAATTTTTATAACGTTTTACATGCTGTAAATTTATGAAAACCTGTGATTGGCAGTTTCAATCATGGTGATGCTTTTCAGCGTTATTTTTTCGTAATCGCTTTTTATATTTTAGACAACGTATTATTGAATACTTGTATAAGGCAGAACATCGATTTTCCACTGTGCGAGCTACTTTTTACGCACGAAGGCACAGTCTAGATATTTTTAGAAGACTCTACTTGTAATGTCAATGCGGTGTATAATCTCGGTTAAGTCTAGAGAAACGTTGATTTGTCTGTACCACAAAAAATAAATATATTTGTTAGTTGGTCATCAAACATTTGGTTGAATAAAAAAGATAATATGTTAAATTACTTTGACGAAACTTCTGTAACTTAATTTATTTTTAAATATCTTAAACAACTAACGATTACATTATGTATTCCATTGTTTTTGAACTGTTTGGCCGACGTAAGCGAGAAGAGGTTTACGACGTTTCGTCATTACGTCGTCATCGGGAGATGTTAGCTCCTCGTTTGCTCGAAGAATTAATTAGAAGTTACATCTATCTTATCTACTACATCTTAATACACATTTTACCATAATGGATGATACCATAGGGATATTGATAAATAAACTAACTTAATAATTTTTAATACTGTATATATAATAGGCATTAATTAAAAAAAATGCAGTGGAATTAATTATTTTTAATCTGTAACGGTATTTTATAATAACGAGAATAGTTTGAAATTTGTATAATAATAAGATAAAAATGTAAACAAAACCATTTAAAATTGTTGCCCAAGACATACATATAATACATTCAACTTCGTGTTCAAACGATTCTGGAGAAAGTGGACAAATGTCATTTCTAACTTATACCAGATAAGACAAGTTTGTCGGCGATTCGTCTCCTTTGACAGAACTTCGAGCGGTCATTATAACGGGACCTTTGTCCAAAACCCCAAAAATATTGTTTTTATTTTTATTTCCTCTCGGGGCAGTGAGAAGATTCGCTCATTTGAAGCGAGGATGAGCCGGCAGACAAATTCATGCTCCTATGAACAAAATGATCTTATATGATTTATGATCAGTGGACAGAAAATATAAATAAAGGCCAAGAAAGTGTGTAATCGTTCTGGTCTGTTAATTCACCTGTACATTTAAGATAACATTTCTATTGGAAAATACGACCCAACTTTTGCAAATGGGGGATTGACTATTTATGTATATAATGCATAAAGTTAGAATTAGAATAGAGCTAGATAGCATTTTCTTTAAATTTTTACTCAGTGGCACGGACGGTAGAGCAGGCTATTGGTTCGAGTCTCACGTATGTAAAATCGTGAAAAAATAAATATTATTCTTACAGAAACTAACGGTAAAATAAATAACTTTTAAAGGTTTAAAACGCGAATTATATTAGCACTACTACTTATCAGCCGTGACCACGGTTGCTGCAAAGTATCAGGTACGTCGTGCCGTAGTAAAATACTTATTTATTTAGCGTTTTAAACCGTTGAGTGTTTTATTTAAATGACGTATATTACTCGCGTATATATAGATAATTCAAAGCAAATGTTTTTACGGAAATGTAAGCCTAAATACGAGAAATTAAAACAGCTTATTTTCCGACACAATTCACTAGTGTAATGGTTATGAAGATAGCACCGATAATCTTAATGAGAACAGTAATAACTACAAAGAAGGTATTGTTTGCTTTACCCAAAGTTTTCGTAGAGGCCGCTACGCGCTCCGATATTGTCTTGGTCGTTCGACCATTATTTCACGCTAAGTTTGTCCCAATATTTCCATTCTAATACACTGACTTTCTATTTATGATTTATACCTTTATTATTTTACCCTTGAATATGTAAGCTTCGACAAGTTTTAATAAAAGATATTTTTGGAAATCCTGAACAATTTTATTATTCAAACAAATTATTTAGATATTGCTTACTTAAAGTTTACTAAAACTTTCTAGTCAGGAACAAAGTAAATAAGTTTAGCATGTAGATAAATACATAAAACTTTTAACGGTTAAAAACGCAAACGAACGTTGTAAAGCAACTGACCGTCGGGTTATTAAAAATTATTTGAAAATGTTTATATTAGAGCACGGACTGCTGTGGATGTCGCTTCAAGTCCTGCCTGGTTCGTAATTCTTTTCAATTTATAATTGATTTTGAATTCGGAAATTATTTGACTAATACATATCATTTTAAACCGTTAAAATGAAGTTTCACTCTCGTAAAGTATAATTATAAATAAGTAGACCAGGTCCCTTCTGAACGAGGAAGAGGAGACCCCGTCGTCCTTAGCTGTTTTAACACTAAACACAAAATTATAAAAAAAAGTACTTTTTTTTAAATAGAGCAATTCTAAATAGTAACTTTAAGTTTTAAAATCGTGAGCTTTACTCAAACCACCGCTATTTAATTATAACAATCTTAAGTTGAAACTCGGTTCCGGCGACAGTATCAATGTTTGCGACGTCATTGTTACGTGTTCCAATATTCTCACCTCCTTGACACTGTTCTCGATGTTTCCAGCACGAACTTGGAAGGCTATGAAATTTAATATTATATAAAAAGGGAAATATGTGATTTTCACATATACTACGGATGACCTAAAAGATTTAAAATCTAAATTTAAAACATCACATCATAACGTTATGTAAATTAAAAATAAAAAAAATAATCAAATTCACACGGTCGCACAATCGGTTAGAGTAGCAGCAAAGGACGCGGTTGATGTCGGTTCAAGTCCCGCCTTTGTTGTAAATTGTTATCTTAATCTAAATAGATTTTTAATTTACCTATAACCATATCTTATTCTTCAGAGGTGTAGTGTCTTATATATTAATTACATTAATGGCTATATTCATTTCAAAGATTGGTGACTTTCTTGCGGTGTTATCGATTTGGTTTTTAATTTAAAATTAATTAAATCATTTAATATTACAGAATTTAGAAATATAAATAATAAACTTTCAATTTATACAAATGGATTACGTAAATAATTAGAAATTTAATATTTGAATACTGTCTGTTGTTTAAGTGAGTCTCCGTGACCACGGCTGCTGCAAATCATCCGAAACGTCGGGCCGTAGTTAAAAACAATTTTCAAACAAGTTAACTAAGAATATCGCGTTTTAAACTGTTAAAGTGTTTTATTTAAATTTAATACTTATTAATACAAATACTTCACAGTTTTGAATATCGATCGTACCATCCTAAATTAGACAAAGTTTGTATGTAGATGATTTTAAACCGGATGTTTCTTTTTTGCTTTGTTTGAACTAGATAAATATATATCTCTCATTAACTAGTCTACATATTATAATCAGCCGTATTTCAGTATTTCAGTCGTATGAACGAAGTGAAATAAAAATGAATTTTCATACCCAAACAATATTCAGTTGAATGGACATGGTGCGTATATTCGATGATTAGTTAGAACTCAAAATGATGTCGCAGCACTTGTCAAGTATGTTCGAACAACTCGGTAACTTCACTAAGAATAATTTGAACAGTAAAATGAAGGAGAAAGATAAAGTGAACTCGAATCATGTGGGGAACTCACCGCATAAGCCACCGCCCCCACCATTGAAGAAACCGTGCAAGCTGCGGAACGTGTCTTCTAAAGCGGAATCGTATGACACGCTGTATGGCAACAGTCAACTGGTGAGTAGTAGAAATTTTTTTTCGATAAATAATTTCCCCGTTACTTTCACTATTCACCGGAGTTTCTTCGCTGCTTTAACCAATACAAATATTAATTCGAACTAATAGTTCCTGAGATTAGCGCGTTCAAACAATATTTAAATTCACGGGAATAACGCTTTTGGGTTCTATTGGTCTCAAGAAACGAATGTGGAAACCGTGTGATATAAAGAAGATTGATTTAAATAAAACACTTTAACGGTTTAAAACGCGATATATTAGTTAAACTTATTTGAAACTGATTTTTAACTTCCGCGACGTTTCGGATGCTTTGCAGCCGTGGTCACGGGGAGACCAGTACGGGCTGGAAAATGCAAACAAAGTTACAGTATTTAAAGAAGATTGATTTTTGATGTTTTTTCACGAGCGCTTATTTTAAAGTTTACTAAAGTATGCTATCGTGTTTTGTAATAAAAATTGAGTATTTTTTTATGGTATAGTGTAGTATGTTACAAAGGTGTGTACTTTGATTATTGTTAAAATGGCAAATATATACAGTAGATAAATATGGCTACAACTGTCCGGTGTATTAACTTGGGACTAGGTCAGTTTGATGTGGTTAACACCAAATCATTGTTAACTGCGGGATAATTACAGCTTATTTCCCAAATAGCTGTACAGCTAGCTAATTATTAATGCATAAATACTAATTAACATGCTACGAAGCTCAAAAAATTATAGGTTTTAAGAATCTTTTTCTTTGATTATCTCAGTGGGGTAATGGTAGCAATGTATTGCTAATCAACGGTTTGTGGATTGTCCGGCCAAAATTTTCTAATTAATTTATAATTCTATTGAAACACATTGGATGTCGTTTGGAAAGCGCATCTTGTTGAGATGTTATATGGTATAGGATCTTTCATCTAATATCAAGTGAATCATTTGCTTGTCTGTCCCCTATCAGAAAATGTACAAAATATTATTAATATATACAAAAACGTATAAAAAATAATGCCGAGTTTTTAAAGTTTTATTGACTTTTGCATATTCGAACCTAAGGTATATAATGCTAAAAAGTACCGTTCTAGGACATTTTTTTTAAAACTTTAGTGTATGTGAAATTCCTGTCCTCGTAGGGCTATGGGGCGAACACATTTTTGTGTTCGTTTCACTGATTCGTTCTTTAAAAGGCAAGTAGTTGATCAGACTTCTATGCACCGCCCGACCGAAACATGTTCTTGTTTGCTGAAATTCAAACCCAGGACCTCTCGCGCTGAACGCAATGATTGGCAATACGTTTAACCATTTGGCTATAGAGGCGGCTATAGGTTTAAGCTTGTTAAATCTAAATGGCTAAGTTTTAAATGCTAAGTCTATAAGACTGAAATGAACAGCAGTGTTCAAGGCATTATATATATTTTTTTTATATATATTAAAGCTATATGAGGATATTTAAGCATAGGGTTCATTGATGTTAGGAGAAAAACTCCAGCCTATAGCATCTAAACAATATGCCCTGCCCATTTTGTCTTTAAATATTCGAAAAAAGTATGTAAGAATGGTCGCCACCCTCGTGGTCCTCGCACCGCCAGTTTTCGTGAACTGGCGGGAGAACATAGATGACGTGTTCTGTGTCATATAGCATATCTTTCGAACTCCAGAAGGTTGACACGTGATACAGGAATAATTCGCTGAAACTATCGCTTGAAGCCATAGTAAATCAACTATCGCGAACAACTTCTGAACAGCGAAAGGCTTTCTATTTGTTACTTTATCAGTTTCACAGCAAGTCGGGCCCTCACGTACGTACTGAGGATCGTATCATGCGAGCCTTATCTACGGGTTTATCATAATTTACGACAAACATTTTTGACATTTGTGATTCAGTCAGGGACCGTCCCACGTTGATGACGGTGACTACTAACAAATAAGCGAAGTGCGAGTCGGTATTGTGCGCAAACTGTTCCGCAGCGTTATAGAAATTATATCTTCTGTACAAGACAGGTGACCGCCTATGTAGATAACAGGTTAAACGTGTTGCGTACTCGTATCATTGCGGTTAATGCGAGAGGTCCCAGGTTCGAATCCTGGGGAAACAGTAGATTGTTTTGGGCAGGGCACAGAAATCTGATCATATAGAAATCTATTAATTCTAAAAGAGCTGAGCAGTGAAAAAGACACAGAAATGTGTTCGCCCCAAGTCCCACACAGGACAAGTGTTACGACATTGTATTAAGAAAGTACCATTCGAAATGAAAGAGGAGATAATTAAGAAAAAAAAAAATGTTCTCGTATTATAATTAATTATATACATTTTTTTTTATATTACATTCGTCAAATACTTCATATGTGTTACCCCTATAAATATAAACCAAAAACAAGCATTTGAATTTGGGCATATGGATATGAATTTTCCCCCGTCGGTCATTGGGTCAATACGTCTTTTTATCTTTAGTAGTTAATCATCTGTTTCTGCCCAATCGAAACAATAGTTTCTCATCTATTCGAACCCAAGAACTCTCGCGCAATGCTTTAGCAAACGGTAACGAAAACATTTTTTAATTATCTACTCTTGTGTTGTACACGATATTCTTTACAATTACATGGAAGTGGTCACACCACCATTTAATCATATTAATAAATGGCAAAAAAAGTTAAAATATTTCATTTGACTAATCCATAAATTCTTTTTCCTTGTTGAATCGTTCATATATGATTTCCTTATCAAAATCCACTGATTTCGCATAAACCTAAGCCTATTTAAACTAAAGGGACTCATACACATAAAATATTATGTTATTGCAATGAGGTTTATCTTTATATTTATTTCAACCTTTTTCAGCAACATTCGTATAAGTTATTCACTGAGGGTTGCAGGCGAATCCTAAATGATTCCTGGTTATTATGCAAATACGTTTTATCTTTTAAATAAAACACTTTAACGGTTTAAAACGCGATATATTATTTAAACTTATTTGAAAATTATTTTTAACTACGGCCCGACGTTTCGGATGCTTTGCAGAAGCCGTGAACACGGGGAGACTCGAGATGGAGGGTATTTCTAATGTTAAAGTGCTACGCTAGTGCCATAGTGCACACTTTTACACCGTTAAAAGTATTTTATTTAAATGTGTGCTATTCGAGTAAATTACAGACAGCATTTAAATTTTAAATTTACAATCTATGAAAACATGGTTTATTATGTTACAAGAAAGGCTATTTTAAAATTGAAAAAAAAATGATGAAACTCGAAAAACACTTTGGCCCGAAGTTTCGGATGCTTTGCAGTAGTGGGACTAAAATGGAGGATGTCCTTAATGTCAAAGTAAAAACTGCTACGCTAGCGCCATCTGTTTCGATCTAGTTGGACTGGATCTGGATCTTACAGAACTAACTCACAGTGTCTTTCTTTATACCGGTATTTGGGATTTAGTGTTTTATTGACATAGTTAAATAAAATTAAAAATCAGTTAATTTATTCGAGTTTCCAATCGTGTTATATTTAAATATTGCATTGTTAGGCATTAAAACAATATTATACCAAGATACACACAAAGAGACAAATAACATATCTATTACTCTGCACTCTACTACATTGTCATTAATTTTTCACACGCGAAGTGATTTTTCTTCTTCTTTCTATTTACTCACTCCATTTTTCCCATTCCAAGAAGTTCTCAGTTTAAATTGCTTCAATCTAGTTAGGCTCAAGAAAAATAACAGAATAAGTGCGGAGTGCAGAAAATAAAGGACGAGGTTTCCTAATACAGTTATGTATTTCTGAGTGCACAGGACATTTTATTTTTATTTAACCGTAAGGTTTTCTAGTTTTGTGAATGTTATGGACGTGGTTGTAGTTATAGAAATAGGGCTTTTAAAACTAACTGGACGTTTAAATAGTGTGTCCTATATTTGTCTCCCATATATATGTCTATGTAAACCTTATAAATGTATGGCGAAATATAGGCAAGTATTGAAGCCCCAAATTAAACATTGTAATTAATTAAATATGAAATTGGCTACAGATTGGTAATAACAATTTTCGAGATGAAACCGTTTGGAAAGGCTAATGGATAGGATTAAACTCAAATCTGTTATGACAATATCCAACAATATTAATCTGTGGTTATGCGACTCATTACATTAAAGTCGGGATTTATTAAAATACCCTTGACGTCATAGGCGTAGATTCTATAATAAATTAATCCTTATCTATACTTATAAAACTGAAGAGTTTGTTTGAACGCGCTAATCTCAAAAACTACTGGTTCGAATTGAAAACATATCTTTATGCTGGACGAACTACATATTAGGCTATGTATCGTCACGATGCGATAATAGGAGCGAAGATACAGTCCACATACGGAGAATGGTCCTTTGCGTGCGAGGCGAGTGCGATCTAAAAATCCGTGACAATATATGTCTATGTTTTAAGATTGACTGTGATATATAAGGCTGAATGGCTTAATAAGTTTATTTCTGTGTCTTTTTGAATGCAGTATGCCACCTATTTTTTTATTGGTCCAACACTGTAGCTCAACGTCTTAACGCCAGAGGTCTGGGGTTCGAAGCTCGATACATAACTGCAAACATTAAATGAGTTAGTTTTAGATTCGAATTGTAAATGGACATTAATTTGCTTACTTTGAATGCTTCAATTTACTCCATACGTTATACAAATCAAGTTTACTTACTCTCTTTCAGTGCATTGCACAAATATTCGATACATTTGTAATGTTTACAGCTTTTTTTGTTATTCAATATAAATAGCAAATATAAATTTTCGACTGTACTCACAATTAGTTGGACAAAAAAAACATCATTTCAAATATATTTTATGACAAAGTTTGTTTATTTCATAAAGCTAAATTAATTATATATATGTATATATTGAAGTTTTTGAATGTATATATTTCGTTCGATGCCCACCGGATATAATGTTTCTAAGAAATTTGTATTTTTTCTTTATATGGCTCCCGAACCACCGTCCACAGATAAAGAAAGCGTGAAGTTTAATCGCGTTTCGGTTAATCAGTGTATTTGTGGATATCCAAGCCAAAATAGGTAGACGGCTCATCCTGTTGAGATATGGTTGAGGGTAGTTTCCTTTCATGAAGTAAACCCCACCCCATGCTTTTCTGTCCACCTCTATCATAAAAGGTGAATTGTAAAATAAGCGACTCTTATACGAATGAATGATACCTTATAACCGCTCGATATCGAAAAAATCAGAAAATCATCATATATATATATATGTAGACTACTAACTATACTACTAATATACTAATCTATTACTACTACTGCTACTACTATTATAAATGCGAAAGTAACTCTGTCTGTTCGGCTTTAACGCCCAAATCACTGAACTGATTTAGATGAAATTTGGTACACAGATATTTTAGAGCCTGAGAAAGGATATAGACTTTTTAATGCCAAAAAAGTGTTGTTTGGGGTTGAAAAGGGGGATGAAAGTTTGTATGGAAATTCGTTGTTTTTGTAGGACACCAATGAAACTTTCTTTTTTGGCTTTTTGGGAATAGGAGTGGGGTTGGTAGTGAGGGTAGGAATGAGAGTGGGAGTTAGAGTAGGAGTGATGCGGCAAAGTAGCACTTACAGCATAGATTTCTGCCTAAAATAAGCCCTTAGATAAA